ACAATGCAATACACGTGCTTTCACTAGGAGAGTACTTACTTTCTAGGTTCAATATTTGGACACCAGAGGTCTCACTGATTTTTGGACTCGCCAATTACCTGGACAAAATGCAATACACCGTCATGACATTACAACACGTGTGTTCAGACAAAAATTAAAGTCTTTAATAAGTTTTATTGCAAAATTGCATGTTTTTGGTCCTACACGTTGCTGGATGTATTCGGTTGAATGGCAAAAGCGGGGATTACCTCATGCACACATTTTAGTTTGGTTAGTCGACAAAATCTGTCCTGAAGAAATCGATAGTGTCATTTCTGCGGAAATTTCAGATCCGTCTACTGATCAATAGACAGGCTAAGTCATGACGTCATAACGGGCGGGAATTTTGAAGACCGTTCCATACGAGATTTATCCCTAAGGATTTTTTTTTAATGCTGATTACATAAAATTCAGAAGTTTATAAGGAGTTTTAGCTCATAAATGGAATAATATGGATGATGATTTGAACTGCTGGGAAATAAAATGTCTATAACGAACAACATAAAACAATCATTTAATTTTTAGTCAAAGCTAGGTTAACCTGGTTGATCACCCACAGCAAGAAGAGGAAGTGAAAAACACAGTGGCCGCCCACTTACAAAACTGGCAGCCCAATCAAGTCAGAAAAGTCACCAGAGAATTAACCCAGGACATCATCAAGAGGACAAAGGAGAAAAAGGCCCCTGGACATGATGGAATATCAAATGAGCTCCTTAAGAAACTTCCAGAAGCAACAATTGAGAACCTCACCACAGTGTRCCGGAAGTACTTCCCGACCACCTGAAGGAAGGCAAGATTGGTTACCAAAAAAGAAGCGAACAGGAAGCTGCTTAACTCATACAGGCCTATCAGCTTATTACCAATGATGGCCAAAGTAACGCAGAGGTGTATCCTGAACCACATCCAGGATACAATACAGGACAAGAAAGCGCTGCTGGAGGAACAACATGGATTCAGGCCAGGACATGGCACTGTCAGGCCAGGACAATACTCTCAGCGCCCGGCTGACAACAAGGATCCAGAAAAAGTTAACCCGCCAAAAAAACGGTATAGGAGCCGTCTTCCTAGACATGTCAAAGCGTTTGACAAAGTTTGGCACCCGGCCCTGATAACCAAGCCATAGCAGGCTTTCTGGGCTACCAAACTAAGCGCATCAGCAGTTACCTATCTGGACGCAACTTCCAGGATAAAATCGGGAACCAGCCGACTGGTAATGTCAGGAGTACCGCAAGGATCAGTGCTGGGCCCTGCCCTCTTCAACATATATAAGGCAGATTTCCCAACCACCACCAATACAGAGTGCTACATCTACGCAGATGATGTAGCACTCACTGCCGCAGGAAACGCCACTTGTATGAAAGCTAGACAAATACATCTCGGCCAGGTCCAACAATGGAGCAAGAAATGGAAAATGGAGTTTAATCGGGCGAAGGTGCAGACCATTCTCTTCACCAGGGGCTTCAAGACTCCGCCAGGCATACAAGAGCTTGCAGGACAGCGGCTATCTTGGACGTCCAAGGCTATCTTGGACTTATCTACGACAAGCGACTAGTATGGCACGACCAAATGACAGCCACAACAGCCAATGCAAGATACCTGCTCCAGGCCTACTATCCTCTGCCGACAAGTAAGCTCTTCCTGCGAACAAAGGTTAGAGCTTACAAACAGCTAATCCGCCCGGTGCTGACCTACGGATCTCCTGCATGGTCCGCGACCAGCTCCTGCCAGAAACACAAGCTGGCAGTAATTCAGAATTTTTTGTACTTTGTCCAAAGATTCCACCCTGCAAAGGGACCTGAAAATGCACGACCTGCTGGACCATATCCGGAACATAACATTAAAGTTCCTGGATAGTAGCCGGCAAAGCAAGAATCCCACAGTCCGGGTTTCGTGCAAAAACAAATTCCCCTGTGACCGCAGACCTCTCTCTGCCGAAACAGTCTAAGAAGAAGACGTGGACCACATGCGATGACCAGTTCCTGCACCACATCGAGGACCATGGGCTAGCTTTAAGTTAGATTTAGGAAGCAAGAGAGGCTGTATTAGGTTTAGGTTTAGGTATGTTAGGTTAAGGTAGATTGATGGTTAAGGTAGATGGAAAGAGCAAATGGCACATCTTTTATAGATCTGACAATTATCTCGGAAAATTTTAGCCGCGAAAATGTTCAATGGCAAGTGATCCTTCATCATGAGGAGAGTTTAAGCGACTACCGATTTATAAAGATTACCATAACTTCAAATACAGACCCAGGAGGGTGCAGATACGTAAGTCGCGTCATCCCAAACAAACTCAAGGACAACTTGGCCTGAGAACTCAACAAGGACTTTAGTCAGGCCAACGAACAAGATCTAATAGAGAGCATATACAAAGCATACAAAACATCTAAACGTCGAAGAAAAGCAGACTCGAATTACCAATTACCATATTGGTGGAACGAGGAAATCGATGAACAGGCGACTAAATCAGCTAGACGCACATATTTACGCGAACGAAGGGACGAGGGAGAAAGAGATCGACTATATAACAACTACACAGAATCCCGACACCAGCTAAGGCAAACCCCACCAAAGATAACCCTTACTAAAGAAGAAAAATCGCGCATCTTCAACGAGCTGTTCATAGCCGAAAAAGTCCCCTGCCGTTACCTGAAGAAGATAACCCACCACCGCCAGTGACACAAGAAATTGACCATGCATTAAGCAGAATAAAAATTAGAAAAGCTCCGGGACCAGACCAAATGCTGCCCGAATATGTCAAACAAATAATATCAGAACATAAGCCAATTTCTGGCCAACTTTATGCAAAGTGTCTTCAACCAGGTCGTTTTCCCGATAGATGGAAAAGTGCCAAGCTAATCTTACTAGAGAAACCATCAAAGAGCCCTGAAGAGGAGAAAAAATATCGACCAATATGTCTTCTGGGCATATTAAGTCTTGGAGACAATTATAAACGAACGATTCAAAGCAGAAAGAATAAGGACGGGAGGGTTAAATGCAAACCAGTATGGCTTCACAAAAGGCAAATCCACAGTGAATCCCAATTATAAAAATTATTAAAACAGTCTATAAAACTCCTAGACAGATCGTCTCGTTAGTCTGCTTGGACATAAAAAACGCCTTCAACACCGCCGACCGAAATATCATAATTCAAAAGTTGCAGAGCAGAGGAGTGGAGAAGTCATTAATAAACATATTAATCTCATACTTCCGCGACAGAAAAATCCTGATCGACCGTGACTACGATTTTGAGGTTGGGGCTGGTGTTCCTCAGGGTTCGGTCCTGGGCCCAACGCTGTGGAACATCATGTATGATGAAGTCATGAAATTATCGAGATACGCAGAAGTGGAACTAATATG